GGCAAGGATTCGCTCGTACTTCTTTTTTTTTAAATACATATGCATATACATACACACACCATTGCCTAACTAGTGGAAAATCTTCGGGCTTCCCCGTCCTCGAATTAAAAAGAATTTAAGAAGAGAGTTACCCAGATTGGCTGATCCTTGTCATTCCTACACCGAGCAGACTTGTATTTTACATGTGGGAGATGAGCTGACTGCCCTCTTTAAAACTGGCAAAAGTCCCCCCCCCTTCCTTAATATAATTGTTTCTCTTCTCTATTCCTTTAACCAAGCATGTTATAATTACTACTTTGGAAGGAAATTGGTTCTGAAACTCTGTCTGAAAAAAGCTGAAACTGCAGCGTCTCTATGACTACTGGACAGGGGGAACCATGGTGCTCCAGTCCGATGTCTTCCAGAGATGGGCTGTGACTGCAATCCCCAACCATAACCTTCTGCTATGTTGGAAGGGGTTTATGGGAACTGAAGTTCAACATATCTGAAAGGCATAAGTTGGTGGACTACTTCAGTGGGTTGTGCACAGAATTCTCTCCGAGGACATGACGGGAATTGCAACTGGATGAGTGATGTAACACGGATGAATCAGGAACATTTTAATTAACAATGCACACAGCACAAACACTTTAGGTACACAGTCAGCTTGTACATCACATCATTTATTTTAAAATGCTTATTTTAGGGTTATTCATCAACATAGAATTAAAGGAAACTTTATACAGATGACTTTAAGTGCCCATCTATACTGTCACATTTTATAAATATATATAAAACGATTACCAAGGAATCGCTGTTACTGCTCAACAGTTAGCAGCCTATAAATATTTGTTCTTATCTCTATCAGTATTTTCTTTTCTTTTGTTTTCATTATTTATTTCCTGACCTTTAAAAAAAATCCATATTTTACATTCTAGCAATGCTCAAAGTTTTTAAAATGTAAGCACAATATAAAACATAATCACAGCAGTTATCTACAAAATCCTTCAGTAGCAATGCCTTTCAAATACAGTTCAATCATTTTAAACCATCACTAAAATAACTAGGATAAATAAGTGTACATCGCCTATCAAATGGTTACTAAACAAAGAGCTTTAGTAGACCTATTTTGGCACAGAGTTATATCAGGTTGATGCCACTAAGGAAAAGTCCTTTACTGATAAATATAGTATTTTATGAAGCAGCGACAATACTATCAAATATACCTGCATGGAACTAACTTGGAAAAATAATGCATAGTGCAATTAGCCTTTATAGATAGATATAATGGGCACCTTGACATCATTAAGCAAATAACATGACACAAAGTATGTAATTTATACTTTGCTTGATGACATCATGATGCATGTGACATCACTTGCTCCCCTGTGGACACCCATGCCTTTATAACTGATTAGTGGGAACTGGAATTGTCTATTTTCCAGCCTGCAACAAGAAAACCAGAAGTGTATAGAAAGTGGACTAGACTTCTTCCATTATGTTTATCTAACCTTTAAATACATCAAGCAATTTATTCTATTCTGGAACAAAATACTTTTCCATCTAATGGTCAGGTTTCTTCAAGCTCAGGGTCTAGGACAGTTGTCCTGAGAAATGGAGGCACAACCTGAGAAGCGCTTTTCACAACTTTATTTCTTTGGAATGTTAATGTTCTACAAACATTGCAATTAATTCCTTTCACTGTGTGCTGATATATGTGTGTGTGGTGGAAATTAAATCTTAATTCAGAAATCCAAAGATTTATGTGGTCCACAATCTCCAATGGTTTTCACCTTGAAAGAGTGAGAAGTAGCGTACTCCAGAGAAGATGAATTCAGCCAGATTTCAGGCCCATAAGTGATTTACACTAGGCAAAGTTACATACTGCTTATTTTTTAAAGAAATTGTTGAAAATATTTTCAATATATTTCTGGCAAAAAAAATGAATTAAATTTGCAGGCCCAAACAGATCAGACCTACCTACCAAGTTGCATAAGAATAGTTCAGAATTACTTCACAAAAGCAATCTTTACACTTGGGGCAATTCCACAAAAAGATGATTGGATGCCTTTATATATTCATAGCAACTTTTAAAGAAAATGAGAAAAAGCATAGCAATAACCTTAGCTTAATGAACTAAATTTGTGTTCAGAAAAATACATACAATATTTTTGTGGGAGTTTTCAACACTTTTTTTTTTTGCATCAAACAATGGTGATTAGCCCTAGAAAAATGTAGTTTTTAAAAAGACCTGGCTAAAATCTTTAATTGTTGATTGAAAGGTGAAACTATCAGTCATTCACTTACAATCACCTTCCTCCTTCTCTTCTCTCTCACACCTCTCTGTCTTTCAAAATATCCAAATTGATAAAGCTTCAAGTGGCCTCAGATAATGGATTCAACTGTACTTCAGTTCAGATATCTCCTGAATCTGTCTATAATAGTGTAATCTGGAGCTGAACAAAGGATCAGGTGTATCTGATGCAAGGCCTAAATAATTTCTTTCACCGCATCCAAATTAGGATGAAGATCTAAGAGTGTCTATTCCATTCTCTCAATCTATTACTTACGACTAGAAGCAAATGTTCTACTCCTTAAGTTTCAGAACAAATAACCAGCATTCCTAACCTTCCTATTGTTGTATTTTGTCTCACCAATTAATCCATGCAATCTGTTGTTGAAATTGTTCATTTACAAATAAGCTGAATATTTTCTTTCAGCTTTAAACAAGCTTGGAGGATCTGTGTCATAGATTCATGAAATATTTTCCTGTGTCAGGCTCTAACAGATCTCTTCATCTTATGTACTGCTATTGTTATCATTATCATCTCTATCATCACAATTCCATTATTTGAAATGGAAATAGGCTCCGGAACAGCATATCAGACTACTAGATACAGTTCTGTATCTTGTACTATCCACTTTCTTGGTTCACAATTCTCTCAGAAGGCCAAGAGTCTTCTTAGTATCTCAGTTACAGCTTGGTTAGTCCTTCAAAATATAGATAATATATCTGCCCAATGATCACAAAAATATATATTTTTCATATCTTCTCAAATCCATTAATCCTTACAGATCAGATTCAGAAATTTCATTGAGATGGTAGAGCAGGTGGGAGAACGATGGTCTGTCATTTTGCTTCTGAAGAAGAAAAAACAAGGGAAGAGAATTAAGTGCTAACTTGTGAATCCACTAGAATGGCAATAATGAAAAACAGTCTATAACAAAATAACATTGTTTAGGTGAGCATAGCGTATTCATGAATGAGGTCTTCCAATGGCAAATTTATTGATAATTTCCTCCCTCCTGGAGGTGAAGCCATTTGAAACTGATGGGAAAAGTCAGAAGGGAAATCTGTAACAAAGCACTGTGCTACTAGATGAATGGTTCAACTTTACAAGAAAAATATTTAACCCTATTTTTAAATAAGGATAATTTTAAATCCAAATATAAAATGGCACATTCTAAATAATGTTTATTTTTAAAAAAAAAATGGTGGGCCATGGTTATAATATCTTCACGTTGAAAGTGAAGGTGAATATTTGCATCCTTTGGGCATTTCCCCACTGATGGAAACTCTTTTGACAAGGGATCACAGATTCTTGTGATTTAGATACTAAATAGTAACATTATACATGATCCTCATACCTTAGTATGTACAGTTGAATAATTACATTTTTTCCAGTAATAAAACTTTCAGACAAGCCAGTCATGTCCTAAAAAAGCTCTTGGTAATATCAGCTAATGCTCTTAAATAGAGATATTCTGCCTATGCAAAGGTCCACCTGGTGCTGTGATCTGACAATTGTTTTTGTTTATTTTTAGGGGAAAGTAACACATTGAAGCCTTGTATTCAGGTATCACTGAACATCTTCAAGGGTAGGGCAACTTAAGGAATCTTGATGGGTATCCTATGCTGTTACTGTAATTCCACTCCAGTTTAGCTTTATATTTGTCTGCTCTGCCTCAAGCTCCAGTAAAATTATATTTTGCAAACAAAATGTTATAGATTTTTAAAACTTCTATTATATTTGACTAATTAAAAATTCAATATGCAGGCTGTTTTTCTTAGAAGTATAAAATACACTTTAATCTTCAAGTTAATTGATTTCCCCCCCACATTTTCCAGTAGTGCTATTTAGAACCTCTTTGAAGAGCAGCTTTCTAGGTGGCAGCTCCTAGCCAGTTCTAAAAGCTAAGCTCAGTTAAATTCTCTGGGTTGCATGAGAAACAACTAGAGAAATACCAAGGCTATAGGCTAGATGGGAAGTCAAAAAACGCATCTTTTGAGAAACCTTTTCTCTACTGATGTCAAGAAAACTCCAAGGACAGGTCCATGAAGTCACCAAAAGTTGGGTTTAACTCAATGAAGAATATATTACTTCTTTCTTACATCTGTCTTGCATGAAATAAGCTGCACTAACCTCATTCCAACAATGTTGCATAAGTTTATAAATGTTATTGGAAGCAAGTCTGGGTTTATACAAACGGAGGCCAGCACTGACTTCTTCTACCACCTCAGCATTTGTCCGATTCTCATAAGGAGTTTTGCCTTCAGTGAATACCTCCCACATCAACACTCCTGAAATAAAGCAAGATATATAATTTATAAAGATAGTATAACGATGTCCACTGCTCTGTCTTTCTCAAATATCTTCATGTTCTGATCCATTGCTTAAAACAGAGATTTTTTTTTCAGTGAGATTCACAATATAATCCTATATTCTCTATATGACTAGAGAAAGTTGCATTAAGTTTAAAGGGACTTCCTCCAAGATTAAGATGTAAGATTGCGGTACTGGTTAGTCATCCTATTGAAATAACATTAGCAGGCTGCAGATTGTCAACAGATTGTGAGTTTGCTTCTGACTATATATTTGTATGTTGTTTGTTCACTGTCACTTACTATTACTACACTCTCTCCCCCCAAATCCTGTTGCTCTGCCTCATTGTGGTGGAAGCAGGGGGGTGTTCCTGGGTGGGATGAGTGAAGAATGCTGGGATTGTATGCCAAAAATATATAATCCTAGAAGGGTCATCCAAGGCATGGGGGTCATCCTGGCTGCCCTGCTAAAGCAAGCCCGCCCCTATATTGGGCAGCAGTGATATACGAAGATGCTAGAAGCAGATGATCACTTTAATGACAACAGCAAAGGTATCATTTCATACTGGTGGGAAAAGGCAATTATAAACCACTCGTGCATTTTATCAAGAAAACTACATGGGTAGACACTATAAAGTGGTTGACAATATAGTGCTGAACAATGGGCCCCTCAAGTCAGATGGCACTCAACACACTATTGAGGAAGAGCTGAGGGCCTTTCAGAGTACTAATGACTAGATTCAGAACATTTAGTTGCTGATATTTTCATGCAAGAAAATAAAATCTGAAGCTGCAAAGACAGAATTACAATGGGAACATGAAACGTAAGAAGCATGAACATGGGAAGGCTGCACATAGTGAAGGATGAAATGAATCAATTACATACTGACATTTTAAGTATCAGCAAATTGACACTTTCAGTCAAAAGATTATACTACAGGTAGTCCTTGTTTAGTGACTGCCTCATTTAGCAACTGTTCACAGTTACAATGGTAATGAAAAAGTAACTTTGTGACCAGTTGTCACACTTAACAACCTTTGCAGGTCTGTAAAGCAAAGGAAAGCTGAACTAAGATTTTAAAATTGTGATGTTTCACTTAGCGACTGCTTTGCTTAATGACCGAGTTGCCAGTCCCAATTGTAGTCACTAAACAAGGATTACCTGTATTTATAATTTTTCAGGACACAAAAAAGAAAGAAGAAATGGCATTGCTTTCATAGTCAGGAAGGAACTAGCAAGAACAGTACTTGGCTACAGTGCAATCAATGACTGGATAATATCAATAAGATTCCATGTTCAACCTTTCAGCGTGACATTATCCAAGTTGATGTTCCAACCACTGATGCAGAAGAAGAAGAGTTGATCAGTCTTAAGGTCAAGTTCAATTTGAAATCAACAGAACATGCAAACAAAATATGATGCTTGTAGCTAGAGACTGGAATACTAAAGTTGAAAATATTGAGGAAAACATAGTTTGACTGTATGGCCTAGGAAACCAATGTGAAGCAGGAGAATGACTTATTAGTTTCTGCCAATCCAATGATTGCTGCTAACACAGTCTTCAAACAACCAAAATGAAGCCTACTGTGTATATATGTACACCACCAAATGGAGTGCAATCAAACTGGGTATATTAATGGTAGAAGGAGGTGGAAGACCTCAGCAAAGATGTGGCTAGGGGATGACTATGGAACAGATAGAAACTCTTCATGTTCAAGTTCCAAGTTAAGCTAAAGTGGAAGAAGAAAGCCAACCAGTTTCCACTATATGATCTTGACTATATACCCACCATTTTCAAGGAGAACATCAGGAATCACTTTGAAGTCCTAAACCTCATTGATAAGGAACCATAGGAACTGTGGAATGAAATCAAAGAAGTTGTTAAGGAAGAATATGAAAAGAGACTGCCAAAGACCAAGAAACAAGAAAAGAAAAGAAAAAGCAAACTGGATGTTAGAACAAACAGTGAAAACTGCCAAGAAGAGAAGAGAAGACAAAACCAAGACAGACAAAGATCTCAGGAAGGAACTTAACAAAAACTTTCAGAAAGCTGTTAGAAGAGACAAGGAGCAGAATTACAACAATATCTGTAAAGACACTAAAGATGGAAACAGATATGGAAAAACAAGGAAAGCCTTCCAAAAGATCTCTGAACTCAGGAGGTTCCAACTTGAATTGGTATGATAAAAGACACCAACAGACAGACAGTAACTGATTCCAAGAAGGTCAAACAAAAAAGGAAGGAGTATACTGAAGTTCTGTACAGTAGAGATGTCAACATCCAAGATATCTAAGAAAATATTCTGTACCTCTAGTATTAGAAGATGAAGTTAGATCAGCACTCTGCTCATTATCAGTTTGGAAGGCTACAGGAATTGATGGAATATCTATAGAAATCCGGCAAAAACAGAAAAAGATGTGGTAAAGGTTCTAATCAAACTACATCAGCAAATCTGGAGAATGACACAGTGGTCAACAGATTGGAAGAGGTCAATCTTTATACCAATACTAAAGAAAGGAGACTTAACAGAGTGTGCAAAGTATTATACACTATCCTTAACTTCACATCCTAGCAAAATAATGCTTAGGATCATCCAATGAAGATTAGAGCCCTACATGGAAAAGGAGATGCCACATGCTCAAACTGGCTTTAGAAAAAGCTGAGGAACATGAGACATTATTAGATAATTGAGAAAGCCAAAAAATATCAACAAGAAGTCAATATGAATTTAAATTGAATTTATGAGATTATAGAAAGGCTGTTCATTGTGTTGATCATGTCAAGCTGTAGAATGTGCTTGGAAAAATGGAAATCCCAAAACAACCCCTTGCCCTCATGCAAAACCTATACAAAGGTCAGGAAGCCATAGTACTGGCAGACTAGCTTCAGGTTGGCAAAAGAGAGAGACAAAGGTATATACTCTTCCCTTATTTATTCAACCTATATGCTGAATATGTATTGAGGGAAGCTGGATTGGAAGAAGATGAACATGGGTTTAACAGTGGAGGAAGAAACATCAGTAACCTACACTATGCTGATGACACTAGTTTGACAGCTGAAAATGCAAATGATCTGCAAGTTCTAGTAATGAAACTAAAGGAGCACAATGAAAACATGGGGTTAAGATTAAATATAAAGATGGCCAAACTAATGACAACAGGTACAATTGACAATGAAGATACTGAAGTGGTGGATAGTTTACACCCTAGACTAGCACTTGGTAGAATAGAAATGAAGGCCTGGAAGATATTCAGATGCTGTGATGTGTCTATACCTACAAAGATCAGAATTGTGCAGGAAATGTTTTTCCCTGTGACATTCTATGAAAGTGAAAGTTGGACTCTGAAAATACAGGACAGAAAGAGTATTGATATTATGAACTTTGGTGTTGAAGAAGACTTTTGAGAATACTACAGATAGCCAAGAAAACAAACAAATGGGTCATTGAACAAATCAATCCCAGAGTTCTCACTCAAGGCACAAATGAACAGGCTCAATTTGTCATACTTTGGACATATTATGCAAAGATCTAGCTCTCTGGAGAAGTCTATAATTCTGAGTGAATTGGAAGGAAAGAGAGGAAAAGGCAACCAGCAGCAAAGATGGATGGACTCAATTACAATGGCAATGGAAGCACCATTGGAAAACCTGATGGATTAGATTGGGGACAGATTTTTTTCTTCTTCCTAGCATTTTTCCCGCATGTGCAGGGTCCGCTTTTTTCAGATCAACCAAATGTTGATCCATTGGTTGTGACAGGATTTAACCTGTCGCCTGACTTGTTGCCCGAGCTTGACGTTGGGAGTTTGGGGACAGATCATCCTGGAGAAAATCAATCACTCACTATCACTACTATCATAATTTTAGAGAAGTACAAAATAATAGCACTGATTCACCTGAACAATCTTCTGTGTACTTTTCTTAACTTGAATCAAAACCTGTCAATCTGAATCAATCTGCTAAATGACTGGCTTCAAAAGGGCTTGTCAAAAGGAGGAAAGGTGGAAGAAAATGAGAAGGAGAAAGAATGAATCTGACACCATCCTTGACATGTAAAATGCTGATCTTCCGTATGACTGGAAATAACAAACCAGATTTGTTATTTGATATTTGGGATCCTTTCAAACCTAGCAAAGCTGACTTCATTTTCAATTTCTTTAACAAAAATCTTAATTGCAATAGAAAATGAGGAACCTGTTTCCCTCTATATATTGCTGAACTAACACTCCCTGCATACCTTACCACTGATTATGACAAGAGATCCCAAATCCTCACTCCCTGTGCTAAACAATACTAGCTTTTAACCAAAGGAATGGTTTTGTGATTCAGTTATTGTAAACGTATTTATATGTTCCATCCAAGATTCCTTTTTAGCTGTTTTGAGTTGTTCAAAAAAAAAAAAATTAATAGTCTTAGATAGTTAGATAGTTAATAACTTTTTTTGAGTTGTTCAAAAAAAAGTTAATAGTCTTAGATATATGCTCATTTTTATTTCTGGATTATTCTGATGGTTGATTGGTTTGACAATCCAGTAAAGGATATGAAACGGGCTGAGAATGGCAAAGCAGAAAAGCTCCTTTTATGCAAATCATGTGATGTGGAGTGATAATAAACTAGGGACAGCTCTGATGTTTTGCCAATTTTTTGTCGTCCTATGCTGTTACAAAATTCTAAAGTTAAATATGGCTTCAAATACTTTACACTTTAAAAATGATGTTCAAATATCTTTAGAGATCATCTAAGCCAAAAACATGGTCAAATTTCTTGTCTTGTTAAGATGAACAACGAACAACTTTTTAACCATAAGAATTTGAAGCAATTGTGTGACTAGGATATTTGTTGTTCATGACTCTTACCAAATGACCATACATCAGACTTGGTGCTGTAGCGGTTATAGGAAAAAACCTCTGGTGCTGACCACCTGATGGGGAATTTAGTACCCATGGAGCTGGTATATTGATCATCAAGCACATACCTAAAACAGATAAACTTGTTTAAGGTCATTAACCAGTAATTCTAGTGTTATAGCTTATGCATGGCAAACAAAAGATTCAGGTCTCAGAATCTTATTGAATCATTAATTTGAAACCATCTGTTATAATGATACAGTCAGATGTACCTTTTCATATACCTGGTCCACCAGTACTAATAAAACAGGAATATGTACCCAGATTGGAAGTTACACAGCTTCACTTTCATTCCACATTATCAAACACTGTAACCATTCTATAGACATATTACTGTTTAACTGTCAGTCCTATGGAAGTGATTGAAATAAGATAGACAGTTTTTTGTTATGCTACAACCAATGCCTTCACTGATATTATGAGTACCATTATTCTTTCACCTCCTGTTCTTTAGAAAAGCAGTAATGTCTGTGGAAAGGGACTGACTTCAGAAGGCCAATAAAACACAGTTGGAGGTGTGTTATATGTCTGCCTGGTAAGTGGTAGAAAGGTGTCTGCAAAGTAGGAAATGATCCTAGAAAGTTATGCATGATGGGATGTTGGGTGTTTCTATGAAAGGAACATTTAGTAGGTGAACTCCAATAACATCCTATTGAAGAACTTCTACCAGCATAACTATGAGCAGGTAATTTCTCTTCTGTTATGAAGTTCCTTGGGTACCTTCAAAATCTGCTCTGCAAGGTTTAAGGGGAAAGAAATTGCAGGGCAGAACTGAGGAGGTAACAGTCCCATTGAGCAAGCAGAGCTGTTGTATGATATAGCACTCCAAGTATGGGCTATAGCTGCCTTCTCCAATATAGTAGTGCCCTGCAGATGGGTTTGGCTTGGAATGTTGGGAGTTACAGTCCTAACCCATCTGAAGAGTGCCTGGTTGGGAAAGGCTATACTATAGACCTTACTGTCTTCATTCATACTATTTACAGGTTTGCATAGTACTTCAAAATCCAATAAAATCTATTTGATTGGAGGTGAATAATGGGAAAATACAAATGATAAACACATACAAAAATGCATCAAGATCCTTTAGTTCTCTTAAACTGGCTGTCAAGGAAGAAGTAGATAAAAGAAATTGTAGCAGAAATAGAGCAGAGGTGAGTTTTTGCCACTACAATAAGTTTGAGTTGGATACAATTCAAAAACTTTAGTGGATTTCCACTTATCAACTAAATAGCTAATAATGTATAAGAGACCTCTATTACCGTGACATTCCAAAATCTGACACTTTGACAACTTGAAGTTCTCCCACCAAACAGTTCCGAGCAGCCTATGGGAAAGGAAAGACAAATATATTTGTAGAGCTAATTACAAATTACTTGGACATATGGGTGAAGATCTATGGCAGACTAGACATTCCCGAAGGAGCAGGATGGCATTGCGGTGGAGATTGGCAGCCAGATGGTGAATTCTGGCCGGTGCAGTCTTTCTGGACAAGGAGAGATCATGAGATCGCCCACTTGCACTCCAGAGAGCTGCTCCTCATGAGGAAACTGCAGGAACTGAGGTTTTTGCAGTTGACTTATGAGTCGAGCAGCTGGGAATTGAGGGATTTCAATCAAGCTCACAGTCGTAATGCAGCCTATATGGACACAAGTTCGTATAAGCCTCATTTTCTTAACCACTTTTGGATGTAATCAATTTACAGCTAAAGAGAGATTTTCTGAGTGGCAGGATAAGAGAAATCCACTTGATGAGTCAACGTTCTTTCTGGATTAAAAAAGGAAAAAAAGGGTGGGCTTCAAAGATTTAAAAACTTTTAGCAAAAAACTTAACAAGGATTGGATATAAGAAAGTTTAAAATGGATATAGGGGATAGTAATTTTGAAAGATTAATTTTATGGTGCTTTTGAACAATTTGGAATTAAAACAGACAAACAGACTGGACCTTTGTGAGAATGTTACTCGTTTACTATTAAAGAGTGCAGAGAATTGGTGGAGTTTACAAAACAAAAGCTAAAGGTAACATGAGCCAGACTGTACAATATCTATGTTTATTGCTGACTGGAAACCCCTTATGGACTTTTTGCATAAAACAGAAAAAAATGAACTTATGATTTATGGTGTGAGAATGTTACTCGTTTACTATTAAAGAGTGCAGAGAATTGGTGGAGTTTACAAAACAAAAGCTAAAGGTAACATGAGCCAGACTGTACAATATCTATGTTTATTGCTGACTGGAAACCCCTTATGGACTTTTTGCATAAAACAGAAAAAAATGAACTTATGATTTATGGTTTTGATGATTAGATAGGATAGATTATAGAAAGAAGAGAGTCATGATGTAACTGTATGCATAACTGCTGTAAGGAAGATTGGAAGCCACTTCTTTGTATCTTTTTTCTTTCTTTTCTATTTTATTTTCTCTATTTCTTGCACTTTTAGCTCTCTGATTTCCTTCTTTTTCTTTCTTCTTCCTTACTCTATATT